TTTGAAGAATGAGTCTCTTGTAGTGCTCTTGCATCCACGTACTTGTACATATGTATTTTTTCGACTCGATAAACTGGTTGCCGGCATGTGCTTGGGTGAAATTGTTCATCTGTACGTGCAAAATTATGTACTCGTAAGGTAAGCTACAGCCTAAAGTCAGAGCAGTCTGTATAGTTGCTTAACTGAGGTGAGGAGGAGCTACGCCCGGTCCGGCCCACACTGATGGTATAAGCGGAGGGAGGAAGCAATGTCTTCCGCATTAGTGAAGCCTTCCTTTTTACGCTCTAGAAGGACTGGTGCACCACTGAGAAAGGCAGAATGGTTTTCTTTCCGTCCATACAATTCAATGGGTACTGTGCTCTTAAATGGACAGTGAAAACAGTGGCAGCTAGGAGACGATCCGAGTGCAGCGCGAACGGCTTTGTGCGGCATGCGCACCAGAACTTAATTGTTTTGACGCGTAAGCGCTACAGTAAGCGCGCTGGTGCTGTGCAGACCTCTTTGCCCTCGCCCTGCTGGAAGAGCATAGACGTTTTACCTCCCAGCCAGCGATCAATGGGCATAACTCCACTGCCATGAACAGGCTGACAAATTACCTGTTGGATGAGGCCCTTGGCGCGTTCACTTTGAGTATGCTCCGCGTTCATTTGATGTCTAGATGCTGTCTCCGGACAAGGTGGTCTTGGCCGCAGGAACGCACTTTTGCTGCTCAGAAATGCGCGGTTGGAACGCCACTCTATTTCTCCATACTACCAAACATAACTTCTGGCGTGGCCATTGTATGGTTGTTTCTCAACTAGTTTCTTGCATCTCGACTGGTGAAATTGACGAGGTAAACTAAAAGAGCTGATATCCCTATGACACCAACAGTTGAAACTGTCCAAACATATCCCTCCGCTCCGTCTTATGCACGTAGAACCTGGGATTGGCAAAGGGTCCTAGAACTTCATCAGATTTTTCCGTTTTTCTCTAACTAATGTTTTATTAAGTGCTCCATCATTAATTTCAAACCTTAGCATTCACTAGTTCTGAGAGAGGAAGTGCCTTCCGGTCACACCATCACAACAGAACAGAATGTTATTGCTATTCTTGTTTCGTTAGAAGTCAACTCCTTCTACAACTCTTAGGGCGTCCATAAATATGTATACGCATACAGTAATTGATCCTGCAAAAGGAAGAGCTTGTGAAGGGTGTTAGTTAGATTGGAGCAGAACACCCTTTCACACCAATCCTTTCTTCCGGGCACAAGACGTATCATTAGTGGACAGTCCAAATCCGTCGCACGACCTATCTTTTTTTAGGGATCATAACTGTACAAGTTCTAGGAACCGCTGCGCACCTGCTGATCTTGTCGCAGCTTTCCGCGACCTCAGATCAGAATATCGCCTAGTCACCGTGAGGAGGTCTCAACGCGCGCTAGTACAGTACCACGAAAATGCCGCCTCAACGAAAGATGACCTAAAACTCGCACTTTTCATGTACGCTCGCCTGCCGGAGAAGGACCTATTCTCTCATTCATCATTCTCGCATTTTGTCAACTCGTCGCCGCGTCGTCCGAGCACGCAGAGCCGAACTATCTGCTCAGGAGCCAGGGTTCCAGGACACATGGCCGCTACCAGGACGTGTCCTATTATGGCACACGCCTATGAATGCTGAACGCTGTGGTATGTCTCTGAGGGTGAGGTCGGC